CCTGTTGTTGGCCCTCCAGAGGAACTGGTTGGCCCCTGTGTGAGACAGGAGGCTGGACTAGATGGACCACTGGTCTGATCCAGCAGGGCTCTACTGAGGTTCTTCTCAGGGGAAGGCCTCGGCCTCTCTGCCCTGTTGCTGGCCCTCCAGAGGAACTGGTTGGCCACTGTGTGAGACAGGATGCTGGACTAGATGGACCCCTGGTCTGATCCAGCAGGGCTCTACTGTTCTTGTGGGTGTGAAGAAATGCTTGAAACCAAACAGGCAACACCAGCAGAAGTCCCAGAACGCAGGTGGGTCACCGGAAAAGGTTTCCCAGTGGTTTCAGACAACCCTTGGCTACCACACTGATGCCCCTCGCAGAGAGAGAGAATACATTAAGCAAAACACGACACACTGTGCACACAAATGTTTGTACGCATTTATACGGATCGCAGAATTCAGATGGCCCCGTTGCAGAATTTCAACCACAGTTAGTTTAACCATTGAACCTTAACGCAACGGTGGCTTGAGGTGACTTCTGAAGGCATGGTTTGGGACAGGCGGCCATGGGGAACGGCAACCTGGCCCGATCTCTCAGTGCGCTTCTCCGCCGCAGAGGCTTCTGGGAGGAAGAATTCTCCCCTTTCAGACCTGCGGCGTCTGGCGGAGAACCACGGTGAGACTGGACAGCGCCTCTTCCGACTCAAGGGCAAGCGCTCTCGGCCCACTGCAGACGCACGGTGAGGGTTCCACAAGAGCAGCAAAGGGTTCGCTCAGAGAGACGGCTCCGTTTGGGAACCCGATCGCAGAGCACACAGGGCCGGGCCTGCTAATGTTTCACCTCTCAGCTAAGCCCATTAGGGATCAATTACTGAGGATTAAGCATTCGGCGATGCGCTTTTCCGAGGCCCTCAGGTTTCAAAAGCCCAACCATGTCCCCTCAGCCAAATTATCTTCATCTGTGTCAGGACCAGGGGTCCCCAACGTGGCGCCCGTGGGAGCCACCAAGTGTTTTGCGCGAGTGGGTGGGGCTCTTGCCCAGTGAGGCTTCTGATTGGCTGTTGGAGATTTGATTGGCTGTGCAGATCTTCAAAAATGTTGCTTCGGTAGTAGCCGCCGCCGCAGCACAAGGATCTTTACTGGGTGACTGAAGGGAAGCCTCGGCAGCCATTTTGTGGCTGGCCCCACCTCTGTTGGCAGCCATTTTGGGGCAGCCCACCACACTCTGTCAGAATTCCAAAGGTGCACCCAGGCTCAAAAAGGAAGGGGTAGAGAGCCAGTTTGGTGTAGCGGTTAGGAGCGCGGACTCTAATCTGGGAGAATCGGGTTTTATTCCCCACTCCTCCACATGCAGCTGCTGGTGTGACCTTGGGTCAGTCACAAGTTCTCTCAGAGCTGTTCTCTCAAGGGCAGTTCTCGGGAGAGCTCTCTCAGCCCCACCTACTTCCCAGGGTGTCTCACAGGAAAGGAGATTGTGAGCAGCTCCGAGACTCCTTTGGGTAGTGAAGGGCGGGGTATAAATCCAATCTCTTCCTCTCTCTTCTTCTTCTCCGGAGTCTAGGCTCCTTCCATTGGAAGCTAAGGGGTCTGCCTCAAAGACCCCATAGGCACTGCACATTTCTCTGTAGGGCATGGGTTATATTTATTTATTTTAAACCTTTATTAGCTGCTTTTCTTCCTTACAGAAAGCAAGGCGGCTTACAGTCAACGATAGAAACATGTAGGATAAAACGCCTTAAAAGCACAGAACAACAGAGAACACAGAGAGGACTCCCTCATTCTGTGTTATACCTCTGAGGATGCCAGTCACAGCTACTGGCGAAACGTCAGGTCCTACAATGCCAAGGCCGTGGCCAGACAACCCGGAAAATCTACAACAGCTAACAGAACAAAA